GGGTAAATTCCTAGCAGTGCTATTGCTGGGCCATAGGGGAGTTCTACTGTTAATTTTTTGAGGAACCTCCACACTGTTTTCCAGAGGGGCTGTACCAGAGGGGTTTACATTCTCACCAACAGTGTAGGAGGGAGCCTATTTCTCCACATCCTCGCCAGCTTCTATAATCTCCTGATTTGTTCATTTTAGCCACTCTGACTGGCGTGAGGTGGTATCTCAGTGTGGTTTTGACTTGTATTTCCCTGATGATGAGTGATGTTGAGCATCGTTTCATGTGTCTGTTGGCCATCGGATGTCCTCTTTGGAGAAGTGTCTATTCATCTTCTGTCCATTTCTTCACTGGATTATTTGCTCTTCAGGTGTGGAGTTTGGTGAGTTCTTATAGATTTTGGATACTAGCCTTTTATCTGATATGTTATTTGCAACTATCTTTTCCCATTCCGTTGGTTGCCTATTAGTTTTGCTGACTGTTTCTTTTGCTGTTCAGAAGCCTTTTATCTGGATGAAATCTCAATAGTTAATTTTTGCTCTTGATTCCCTTGCTTTTGGAGATGTGTCGAGTAAGAAATTACTGTGGCTGAGGTCAAGGAGGTTGTTTCCTGCTTTCTCCTCTAGGGTTTTGATGGTTCCCTGTCTCACATTCATTTTGAGTTCATTTTTGTGTATGGTGTAAGAAAGTCATCTAGTTTCATTCTTCTGCATGTTGCTGTCCAGTTCTCCCAGCACCATCTGTTAAAGAGGCTGTCTTTTTTCCATTGGATACTCTTTGCTGCTTTATCAAAGATTAATTGGCCATATGTTTGTGGGTCCAATTCTGGGTTCTCTATTCTATGTCATTGGTCTATGTCTGTTTTTGTGCCAATACTATACTCTCTTGATGATCACAGCTTTATAGTAGAGGCTAAAGTCTGGGGTGGTGATGCCTCATATTTTGGTTTTCTTCTTCAATATTACTTTGGCTATTCAGGGTCTTTTGTGGTTCCATACAAATTTTAGGATTGTTTTTTCTAGCTTTGAGAAGAATGATAGTGTAATTTTGATTGGGATTGCATTGAATGTATAGATTACTTTGGGTAGTAATGACATTTTAACAATATTTATTCCTCTCATCCATGAGCATGAATGTTTTCCTTTTTTTGTGTGTCTTCTTGAATTTCCTTCATAAGTTTTCTATAGTTCTCAGCATACAAATCTTTTATATCTTTGGTTAGGTTTACTCCTAGGTATTTTACGGTATTTGGTGCAATAAAGTCACAGGGTTCTTGATCTGTGCGATGGTTAAATGGACGTGTTCACTTTATGAAAAATCATCAAACTAAACATTTTTATTTGGGGCATTTTCTGTATATGTGCAAATACTTCAACAAAAAGCTTTCTTAAAGTGAAAACACACATCTCCTACACTTATCCTAGATAAGGCCTAGAACAATGAAAAAATTATCTGAGAAAGGAAATACAGCCATAGTACCTTATGTGACTCTGGTATATGTAATATTTGGGTAGTCATAATAATGTAAACACAGAATACTAACCAAAAGTTGTGATATAACTATATTGAGAGGGAAAAATTGAGGGAAAGCTGGGGGTATAATGTGGTTAAACTATATCTTTCATAGCAGAGATACAATATAATATTTAAAACTGAAAAAGCAGAAATGCCTATGGAAGTAAATGACCTACCTAGAAATAGAGAGTTTAAAAGTTACATACAGCTAAGGAGCTAGAAATAACTGCCTTTGAGAATGGGAAAGTGGAAATCAAGTGTGGTGGGGCAGGCAAGGGTCAGCTATATATCTTTACATGTATTGAAGTGATTTGACTTCCTAAATTGTCTGTATGTGCTAATTTGAGGGGAAAAATCATATTTAAAAAGTCAATTTAAAAACGAAAAAGTCTACAGCTATACCAAAAATGACTTGACATCTTAAACACTAAGGGGAGGAGTTTATTGTCAGCATTAATAAGGTAATACCAGAGAAAGCATATAGATAAGGAAGTAATAACACTAAACCAAACAAAGAACAGTAGGGAGCTATTCAAGAGAAGTCATTAAGTAACTGACTTTATCATCAACCTCCCTCTACACCACAAAAAGAGGTTAGTCTTTATCAGAAATATATAGCAAATTACGGGTGGTAATTCTGCTTTCACAAAGTTGCCACATGAGACAAAGTTTCTACAATAAATTCCCAATGTTTCTGAGTGCTTCTAAATATCTGCACCAGCATAATCATCACACATTTAATAAAATACTGAATACAAAAGAGCATATAGATGATCCCAGCTTTATGTAATATATATATTCTGGGAAATTTATATTATACATCTCACACTGGAAAAAGCAGTGGTCTAGAAGCCAGGAAATCTTGCATTATTTAACACATTACTACTATTAGCAAATTCTGGGTAAGACATTTAACTTTTTTGATTCTCAATCTTCCCATAAGAAAAATGTGACAATTGATTAGTTAACTCATGAGGTTTCTTTCTGGAATCCCAATCATTGCCTTGGCGCTCCATTTCCTACAGCCTGAGTAGATTCCCATGGCTCTTCATCTTCTCAACAGTTCTCATGGCTCAAATACCACCTTAGAGAAGATTTGTTTAATTGATCTATCAAGATCTAAAATTGTCTCATTTATCTGTTTAATTGTATATTGCCCATCTCCTGTCAGAGAGTAAATTATTCCAGGACAGGTACTATTAAATAAATACTACCGTATTTAAAACTTTGCATATAGTAAGCCTCAACAATTATTTGAAAAAATGTCAGTCCTTTAAAACCAAAGGAATATTATTTGGAAATGGTTTAACTTTTTGTGCAATACAGGCCTCATTTCCACATCAATTGGGTCATCAATCAAGAATCTTGAACGTCTCCAGTGACAGCAAGCTTATTAACTCATGAAGCAGTTCACTCCATCTTGGGACAACCCCACTTATTTGAAAAGTCTTCTTTACACTAAATCAAACCTCTGTTCATGTAATTTCCACCCAGGTCTCTTGGACTAATGCCAAGAAAGTCTGAACCCTCTTATATATTCAGACTTAGGCATTTCAGAAAACATATGCAGATACTCCCTACAACTCTGTCATAGGACAAGTATTTCCATTCTTTTCAATAATTCTCCCTGTCTTGTCTCCCTGAGATTGTCACCCAATCTCATCCTTTCCATGATAGTTTGGAAATACCCAATTTTTGAATTTTTATCTACAAACATCAGAACTTAACACAGTACTTCTCTCATTTGCTTTGACTAGCATAAAGTCAGTGGAACAAATATCTTAGTCAATCTAGACATGACAATATTATTCATAAAAGCATAATTATTCTGATATAAAGCTCATAATCAACTAAAACTTCCAGTTATTTTCATCAGCACTGCTATGAACATAGGATCTTCCATTTTATAGATATAAATGTACTTTCTAAACAATTAGTTGCAATATTTTGCATCTGTTCTGGTTAAACATATTTTTTTTTAACTTTTAGTACAGTGTTCTATGCTATTTTAATCTTTGAATCCCAACACTGTACTTGAAGATCTCTCCAAATTCTGTGTCATCAACATAATTGATAAGTATGCCTTCTGTGACAACACCCAAATCATTGATGAAATATTTGCATAAACAGTATCAACCACTTATGTCCCATAGCATAACAGCATAACATTAGCAATACTGGCTGATTTTTTTTTTTCTGGCTTATACTGATATTATGTGTGGTTCAATGAACTATTTGTAACTCCCCCAACAGCTTCTTATCTGCAAAAATATCATGAAAAGCATTATTAAATGCCCTTCTAAAGCCAAGATGTTCTATGAAAATAAAGCATTTTATTAACATAGATTGTCTTTTTAAATATATTTTTGCTCTTATTTAAATTCTAGTTAGATAACACACACACACACACACACACACACACACACACACACTTCCGTAATTTGGAAGTAAATAATACTGTTATAAGCATAGGACAGTATGTATCCCTTTGAATTATTATTTTAGTATTTATATATTTATAAATATATATATTTATATATATTTTATTCAGTATACTTCATTTATAAAGTATATATTTATAAATATATAAATATATATAAATTATATATGCATACGTGTGTGTATGCATATACATATGTACATATATATATAAATTAAATACACCAAATTTAATCCTGTGGATTACCACAGGATATGTCAATACTATCAGCACTCCAAAATAAGATTTTATATATTCTCATTTCTGAAACAATAACACTTAACATGAATTGACAGAAATTTTGTTCTAAGTCTGGGTATCTTTGCAAAGGAATGCTAAGAATAAGAAGAAATCAACATAATGAAACCAAGAATATGCTTTCATAGTATACAATGGATAAAAAAACAATGCTATGTTAAATGTGTTAATCTAGAAGTGTGATTAACAATCAATCGGAAATTATAAAGTAAATCCAACAGTATCTATATTGCTTCCATCTTTCCTATGGAATCTGCCCTGTCACTGTAATGCATATCTAGTAAATTATAGAGACCAAATTAAGTGGGAACAGTATCTTTAGTAATAAGGGCATTTTCAAAGTACACTTTTACTCCTAAAAGTTGAAGATATGGTCAAATCTTCCATTTTAAGATATATCCTCCAGTTGCACAAAAATCTATTAAGTGGCAGTATCATGAGACAGAACTACTTATTTTGGGGTAATTGTATCTTTATCACTGCTTTCTCAGCTATTTCACCCAACTGAACAGGACTCACAGTAGGCCCATAGGATATGCAGTATCTTATAAATTATTTTACGTTACTTTTCCTATTCAGTTATCTTTATGAGGAAATGCTTATTGATTTTTCTAATTTTTCAAACTCTTTTCAGAAAACTAGGAGGATTTTTCCTGAGAGACAAACATTAGCTATGTGAAGCCAATTGCTACTGAGAGAAAATGCCAAACTTTTCTTTGTTCAACACAATCATTTTTGCTTCTTAAAAGGAAACGGAAGATGAAAGACCGACTTCAAGAACTAAAGCAACGAACAAAGGAAATCGAACTCTCTAGAGACAGGCATGTGGTGGCTACAGAAGCAGAAGAACAAGGGGTGTTTTTGCAGCAAGCTGTTATTTATGAAAGAGAGCCGGTAGCTGAGAGACATTTACATGAGATCCAAAAGCTACAGGAGAGTATTAACAATTTGACAGATGATGTTCAAAAATTTGGGCAGCAACAGAGAAGTCTGGTGGCTTCAATGAGAAGGTTTAGTCTACTTAAGAGAGAGTCTAGCATTACAAAGGAGATAAAAATACAAGCAGAACACATTAACAGAGGTTTGGATGATTTAGTAAAACAAGTTAAAAAGTCAGAGGCTGAAAATGGTCCATCATCAGTGGTGACAAGGATACTTAAATCTCAGCATGCTGCTATATTCCGCCAATTTCAGCAAACAATGTTTACATACAATGACACATTAGCAGCAAAGCAAGAGAAGTGCAAGACATTTATTTTCCGTCAGCTTGAAGTTGCTGGAAAAGAAGTGCCTGAAGAAGAAGTAAATGATATGCTCTATCAAGGCAAATGGGAAGTTTTTAATGAAAGCTTACTTACAGAAATCACTATCACTAAAGCACAGCTCTCAGAGATAGAACAAAGACACAAGGAACTTGTTAACCTGGAGAACCAAATAAAGGATTTAAGGGACCTTTTCATTCAGATATCTCTTTTAGTAGAGGAACAAGGAGAAAGCATCAACAATATTGAAATGATAGTGAATGGTACAAAAGAATATGTTACCACTACTAAAGAGAAATTTGGATTGGCTGTAAAATACAAAAAAAGAAATCCTTGTAAGGTATTGTGCTGTTGGTGTTGTCCATGCTGTGGCTCAAAATAAAGAAACTATTTCAGCCATTTTTTCAAGTTTTAGAATGAAGGATCTCCCGTATTTCAGCGTCTTTCTTCATTTTACAGATCCATTCACATACCTTCATCGTATCTGTAGCCCTTATCTGCTAGAAGAACAGAAACTTCTGCAGTCAGGGACAAAACAAGTCATTTATTAAACCAAAAACAGTATAGCTAGTTAACTTTAAACTCACAAGTTAACTACTGAAAATGAGATCAATGATCTTCCGTTTCTGTTCAGGGATCAAGCTCTATAATATATTTTTGTAACTTTTAATGCCTTAACAAGATGAATGTCAGTAAGTGACAACTGCCTAACCAATCCTTCTGGCTCATTTGAGAGCATTTCAGTGGTTAATAACTGTATGAAACAAGACCTCAAAGGGGCGCCTGGGTGGCTCAGGGCATGATCTCTCCGTTCGTGAGTTTGAGTCTCGTTTCAGGCTTTGGGCTCAGAGCCTGGAGCCTGCTTCGGATTCTGTGTCTCCCTCTCTCTCTGTTCCTCCCCAACTTGCAGTCTGTCTTTCAAAAATAAATAAAGATTACAAAAAAAAATTAAAAAATAAAAAGAAACAAGACTTCAAAGAATGCGGTGTTAAAGCAAAATCAAACCAGAAACTGTGTCAAATCTTTTATGCTCAGATGGGTAAGTTAACTCAGTAGTGGTCAACAAATCATGGAAAAATCCAGCTACGTATTAAAGGAAGAATCTGGTTGGTAACTGAGAGCTGAATCTAGCTTAAGGCCTAAGAAAGTAAGACACTGTTTTCCTGAACTTGGGTCCATTCAGGACACTGTATTACAGATTAGGAAGGTTGGCAAAGAAAGTAAAAAATAAAAGCATTTGCATTCTCGAAAGTTTCTCTATCACTTTATGGTGAAGCTAAGAGCACTGCTCTAGAGGCTAGGGATGTAGTCTGAACTCACACAGGGACACAGTTTTGGAATTCACATTTTAATGGAGAAAGCAAGTAACAAATACAAATATTAGATACTGTTAAGTTCTTGGCAGAAACTTAACATTGAGAAACTGACTGTTGGCATGGCTTCTTTTGGTTGGTGGTCAGTGAAGGCCTCTCTGCAAGGGAATATTAAGTGAAGATTTAAATGATGAGGACAAGGAAGGGTATATCCCAGGCATAGTACAAAGAGGATGATATTACTCTGCTTAAAGAAAAAATCAGCAGTACAGCTGTATCATAGTAAGAAAGAGTAATGAGGTAAGGGATAAAGTTAAGAAAGGTCTGCAGGCACTAGATTTAAGGCTTTGTTGGCCATGTAAGTTGGAAGTGTGCAGCAAGCGTAATAAATGCAAAGCCCACAGACTGTCTCTAGCCTGAAAATAATGTTCTATAATTTATATTTGAGAAAAACCATTTTGTCTGCTGTATGTGGGTTAGAATGGATTCGAGGCAGATGAGTGGAGGACAAGCATGCAGGTATAGAAAACCACCAGAAGGCTAACGCAGCAATCCCAGTAAGAGATGGTAGAAGTTGGAGCACCTAGGTGGCTCAGTCGGTAAAGCGTCCAGCTTCAGCTCAGGTCATGATCTCAGGGCTTGTGAGTTCAAACCCTGCAGCAGGCTCTGTGCTGACAGCTCAGAGCCTGGAGCCTGCTTCAGATTCTGTGTCTCCCTCTCTCTCTGTCCCTCCCCTGCTCATGTTCTGTCTCTGTCTCTCAAAAATAAAAAGATGTTTTAAAAAAAGAGATGGTGGAAGCTTGGCCTAGGATGGGAGTGGAGGTGGTGGTGGGGGTAGTGGTACTAACACTTGAGATGAATAAAGTATGTGTTATGTGTCAGCATTGTCCTAATAGTTTTTACAATTTTCCCCACAAAACACTGAGGTACAGTTGCTTAAGTAACCTTCCGGGTCACAGAAATTGAGAGAATCAGAATTTGAACCCAGGCTATCTGATTCCAAAACCAGTTCTTAGCTACTATATACTATATTAAGTGGTGATGAAAAAAAAAAATAGACTAACTTGTGATAGATTTAATAGCTAGAATCTACAAAATACTGATTGGATGATGGTATCATCAGGGAAAAGACAAAGATGAGGATTTCAGAATTGGGAGTAAAAAGGAAATCTATAATTCTATTTTGACAAAGATTACCTGAGATTACTATAAAATGTGCAAGTGGAGGTTTCTAAGATATTAGCTATATCAGTAGGAGCTCTTGGAAGAGGTAGGGCTAGAAGTACAGATTTGGGACATCTGAGCAAATAAACAGCATTTAAGGTCAGATGATTTTATTTATTTATTTTTTATTGTTTTATTTTTTAGAGAGAGTAAGGGAGAGGTAGAGGGGAAGGGGGAGAGAGAGGGGCTAGTGAACGGATCTCAAGCAGACTCTATGTGCAGCGCAGAGCCTGACACAGGGTTCGATACCATGACCCTGGGATCATGACCTCAACCTAAATCAAGAGTCAGAGGCTCAACCAGGTGAGCCAATCAAGCACCCCAGAGGTAGGTAATTTTAGAACGAAGTTACCTGAAAGGTTTGTAGGTATGAAAAACTAGATACCCTAAAAAGAGCCTGTGGTTTTCAAAATTTCCACCTAAAGCGGAAGAGTTAATAAAGGGGATTGAGAAGAAACTATTAATGAAGTAGAAGGAACACCAAAAAAGTGTGCTGCAATGTAAAGTGTTAAAAGGAGAAAGTTGAGGAAAGAGTCAACCTGAGGTAAAATAAGAACAGCAAACTGACAATGGATTTGGCAATGTGAAGACAATACGTTGACTGCAACATGAGCCATTTCAAGGAACTGTAGAGATAGAAGCATAAGTGGAGTATGTTGAAGAAAGAAAGCGTAATGAAGTATAGCAGCCACCACAAAGTACTCTTTCCAGCCATGTGAATAGAGGAGTGTGAAAAGGAATTAACGGCTTGAGAAAAATGCAGGGTCAAAGGATTCCATATACTTAAAGTTAAGAAATCCAAGAGCACATCCTGCTAATGGGAACGATCCATACTGGCAAACTCTTGACACAAGAAAGGGAAGGGATTATATGCAAAAGTAGACAGGGTTGGGATCTGTAGCACAAATGGAGCAGCTGGCCTTGGATGGGAGCAGTAGCACTTTTTCCATATTATAGACTCGAGAGAAGGCAATATTTAGGAATAAAGGCAGATAGTTGAGCAAATTTGCTAAAAGAAAGAATTCTTACATAACAGTTTCTACTTCTTTAAAGAACTATGAGGCAAAATTATTAATTGAAAGCACAGTGGAATTGAGGGAGAACAGGAATATACATATACATTACTTCCTAACACTATACAATAAATTTTAAATTTAAAATATAAAGAAATTGAAGACCTTTCTGCTGTGTCAATTGTCAAGTATTACTGGAAAAAAAAGATGTTTCATCTATGTCAGCTCCAAATGTTTAAAGAACTTTATAAAAAAAGATAAATTTAGAGCCAATGATAAACTCTCTACCTAATCAGGTGGTGATAAATTTCTTCTGTCCCTTCTCAAGTTGCACTATATCCTTTTATCTATTACCTTACTGATACTGGTTTCTAATTGTTCCTAAATTGTTTATCATGGAAACTGAGAACATTAAGTATTATTTAATATTCACTAGCATAATTGTATCCCAAAGGATTTGTAAAACAGTAATTTTCTATTAGTATTTATATCTGCACATAGTGCTTTTAAAGCAAGACTTAAGCACAGAAGGATTCATGGCAAAACAATATATCACATGTATCACATATAGTTTTCATGGTTACATTTTTAAACCAATTAGAATCACCTTGAGAAGTCTGGCTGGCTCAGTCAGTGATGCACTGGAGTGTGACTCTTGATCTTGGGGTTGTGAGTTGAAGCCCCATGTTTGGTGTAGAGAAGGGCGCCTTGGGTAGCTCAGTCAGTTAAGCATCCAACTCTTGATTTCGGCTCAGGTCATGCTCTCAGTTTGTGAGATCAAGCCCTGTGTCGGGTTCTGCACTGACAGCACAGAAACTGTTTGGGAATCTCTCTCTCTCTTTCTCTCTCTCTCTCCCCTCCTCCGCCTCTCTCCCCAGCCCATGTGCACATGTGTGCCTTCTCAAAAATAAAGAAACAAAAATAAAATCTTAAAAAAAAGAATCACCCTAACCAAAGCAACAAAAAAAACTGGATACTTAATTGGTTGCTGAACATTTTGTATATTTTATTCACACACTTACTGGGCACTAAAAGTATTTCTTCCCTTAAAATTATTACCTTAAAGTAAAAAATTACTAAGCATTGAAGGCACAATATTAGAAAATCTGGTAAAATTACTATGAGCACTTAGACTCATATTCTCACCTACTAAACTATGTCATTTTCTGTAATCAAAAGCTTCATGTAGCCTGAATTCATATGATGAGACACTTTAAAAGCTCTCCTAATTCATCTCCATCCAGACACAGCATATCATCAACAATAACTATTCATATTCATCATCAATCACATTTACAAAGCACTAGTAAAGCACTGCCCTAGCTGCTTTAAATATATCATTTGAAATTCTCATGACAACACACTTCCTAAAATCCTTATTTACAAGTGTAGACGCGGAAACTCAGAAAGAGCAAGTAACCTACCCTAGACATGTCAGACTTCAAAGCCCACGCCTTCCCCTACACCAGTAGGCTCAACTTTTGCTGTGTATCAGAATGATCTGGAGAACAAGTGAAAAAAAAAATCCCAGAAGCATTTCTTGGTCCCACCTTCAAAAATTTTAAAGGTCTGTGCTGGTACTGATGCAGGTGGTCCCCAGGAAACATATTGCTAACAACACTGCCAACACGTTTCTCTTTGTTATATTGTTTTTAAATAAAGTGTGTTCCAGAGGGGAGGGCAAGGATGGGACCTTCTGAAGGCTCCTTTTGCATAAATTATCTAGGAAGTCAACCAGCTGAGAAACTTTACTATAAACTAAAACTGCTATGAGTGAAGCTGGATGCCATTAGTGACAAAAGGAAGATTCTGGTAAGGAAGTATCTGGGTGA